ATTGATGTAATTAGTGGTGGATTGCATGCCCAACTCTGAAATGTTAACATGCATGAGATAACATTCTGAACACATGACAGTAAGTCGAAACCTTGCCTTTGCACTCAGCTTTGCATATAGGTGAGTCACAGTTGAGATAGCAAATTTTAGCCTTTTTATCTTTCGGTGAAGAGGATGGGCATTCCGCAGGGCAGTGTACCTGCTTGAGAAAGCACGGGCTTTTCTTGCTGTAACAAACCTTAAGATCTGTCTTACTTTGTACCAGAACAGAAGCAGATACAAGGATTACCAGAACGATCAAAACACTTTTGCTGCCTAAGAACTCCATTGCTTCTTTCTCCTTATACCTCACAAATGAAATGTTGATATATATAGCCAGGTTAGCTTCCCCTTTTCTGGTTGATCTTGTTATATAATTACCGAATCTATCAAGTGGGAGTTTAGTATTATCTTTTAGTAGCATAAATTCTAAGTTTAGTAAGATGAACGTAGGTTCCTCTTCAATGCTTTCCGGAATTGTTATATCTTGGTCAATGCTTTGGGGTTTGGTGATTGTGAATTAGAGAAATAGCTATTGACAATACAAGTTTTTTATTCTTTTCCCTTTGTTTTCTGATCTGATTATATATGAGTTTTATTGGTAAAGTTTGGCTCTGTACAAGATTAAAAGAACGATGCAAAGAATCTCACGTCGAAAGAGTACAACAATAACTTTGAATTAAAAAGTTGATTTTTAACTAGGGTATGGAGTCTAAGTTGGTACAATATCAATTTATAGTTTGAATGTAGTAGTAGACACTTGCAGGAGGAGTCACGCAACAAGTTTTTTTAGTGATTCAATATAAATTAAGCAATGAATTAGAATGGGTTGTCAGAAGTGCCTAAGCAGCAAGCCCTTCGAGCCAAATCAACTGGAAAAGGTCTCTCATGATAAAGACACGGTTTGGTTCATTCATGTGATGTAATGCACCCATTTTTGCGCCCGACAAAATGGCCGTGCATACTGCATTGTCTGCCTTCATCTTATTTATTTATTTGATAATTGCTAGTGCTTTACAACCATCAATGGAGTTATATATATTCTTGCAACTTGCCCCATTGGCCTATTGTCAACCACACGACATGCATGCCTTCACTTGAATACTACTTTCTATTGGTTTGAATCAAGGGACAATTAGGCATAAACTGAACCTGGGAGTAAATCACCTCATGGAATCAAATCTACATATATTTTTTGGGTACTTTATAGGTCAAAAGCTTAAGGGATCAGGCCAGGAACCAATATCAGATTAGTTCTTACCAATTTTTTTTTATTTTTTATATAAGCAGTAATTCGAATATTCCTCCTCAGGTGCAAGAGAGAGAGTAATGTTAACCACTTAAGTTACAATTTTTGCACTGATTATCAATCGGCCTTTCATTAGTGAGCAAAAGTAGAGAGGTTTTAGACTCTTGTGTATGCAACAACCCCAATTTGTGCTAGTTTAGTGCTATTTTCTTACTCTATTCCAACAAATTGGCGTTGGATAGCTGAAAACCGAAATGACATCCAAAATAGTAAACTTGCTTTTTATGACGGAGAAAACTACAACTGATGAAGTTGGTAAATATTTGATTTAGTTCCCAATATTTAAGGTTATTAGAGCATGATTAGCTCGTGGACTCTCAATCAAGTATATGTGTCTTTCATAGGAAATGACACTTTGCCGTAGTGACGGAAAACATTCATTGTCTATGCACCCTAGTGTGGGTTTAATCTTCACTGATTCTCCCCTTTAATAACTATTTAACCCACTAACGTTATCGTGTGTCAATAAAACAAAGATAACTAATAAGATTATGTATTCTTTATCTATGAAAAAGAATTTGATGTTGTTTATGAGAGAGAAGACAGTTATTTTATATAGTAAAATTGCAAGCTCTTAGATATGATATTTGTTGATGCACAAATCGGGTCGATCTTAGACCAACATAAATCCAATCGTAAATCACACAAACGCACAAGAACACAGATATATCGTGGTTCACCTCAAGTTGGGGCTACGTCCATACTAATGTTGATCCGGTTTCACTATGTAAATTGAGGCTTACAATGTACATGGCGATAGAGGCTAGGGTTTGCTCTCTTTGCGCTATTCTTTTTGCCCTCCCCCTTCAAGTGAGGATGAAGGATCCTTTTTATAGAATAAGAGTTTCCTTCACCTCCTACATACATCATGGGTTAAGTCATGAGACCCAAATACTAACGCCCAATAAATGGTACAACAGGAGTCCCTCAAGTCTTCAGTCAAGAGAGTCTTTTGGCTAGCAGAGACTTCAAATCCAATCCATGTGCGGTCCGAAATCACTAACAATATTAGTATAGAAAATTCTAAAACAGTATACGAATACTACGATGTCTCCTGGTAGTTCCTAATCTGTTGAGAGTAAATGGAGAACAGGTCGTAATTGATCATAGAATTGTTGTCAAAATTCCAAGGAGATTGACTAGAAAACCGAAAAAATAGAACATATTAATTAGGTCAAGTTATAGCTTTAGCCAAGGAGCCTTGTTGTCAAAATTCCAAGGAGATTGACTAGAAAACCGAAAAAATAGAACATATTAGGTCAAGTTATAGCTTTAGCCAAGGAGCATGACAAAATTCCAAGTGATAAGGGTGCGTAAAAAAGGGTTGGCATTACGAATTTTTTTTTTTTTTTGGAAAGACACAGTAGTAGATTCATTTACTTCAAAAAAGGTGCGGTACAAGAGTTACATTCAGAGCAACAAGTAAGTCGGTGACAATACTTGGGGGAGTAACATCCCATAAACAATCTTGTTGCAATGAGTGTGGGTAATTTTACCTTCAGTGATTGAACGGAGGAGCAACTTGATATCTTCTACAGTTTGCCCAATGAATGACAAATTTGGAGAGAAATCACACAACACCTTCACAATCTAAAGTGAATCGCTTTCGAAAGAAATATATAAACCCCTGTGAACTGCCCAAGACAAACCCGCCCTTAAGGCCACTGCTTCTGCTTGGAGAGGAGAAAAAAACATCCTCTTCCCTGCCACATTTTGACGACACAAAATTACCTGTTTCATCGCGGACAATGGCATCAAAACCGGCGACATTGCGTTCCCCATTCCAGGCCCCATCAATGTTCATTTTGAGTTGCCCCGATGGTGCAGCAACCCACTTGGAGAGAATTTGTACCCGAGTACGGTGACCTAGCACCGAGGTTCGAACGAACTCATGCCACCACATTGTAGCCCGATTGACACAAACATCAGGAGGGTCCGTCCTGTCATTCCATAGCTTGCCATTCCTTGCACCCCACAACGACTAGCAAATCATAAGGAAAAGCTCAAAATTTTTCTTTGAAACTAAATTTGCCACATCATCTATCCATGTCAGAAAGTTTTGGTCGTGTACATTCCTCAATAATGGTCCAAGACTTGAAGCCAGCCAGGCACACTTTGCAAATGGGCATTCCTTCGTAAGGTGGATGGTGGTCACTCCGTGAGTGTTGCATAAGACATAAGCCAAGTCCGTAGTTATATGTCGTTTTTGCCAAGAGTGCTCGGCAGGTATGAAGTCATTGGTAACCCTCCATAAACACACCTTCACCTTTGGTGGGACATTTGCATTCCATAGCCTGGACCATAGCTTGTTTGCAATTTGCTGTGTTGATGAAGAGGCCTCATGGGTAGGTGGTTGTAGCCATTTTTGAGCAAGGTGGTATGCACTGCGCACTGTAAACCTCCCATTTTTCTCGTAATGCCACGTTAATTTGTCCGGTGAAGAGCGGATACTTAACGGGATGGAACGAATTAAGGTTTCTTCTTCCTCCAAAAATAGCGACGGTAACAAATCAATCTTCCACCGACGTGTGAAGGGGTTGATAAGTTCGTTTGCGGTTCTCAACGTACATCCCGGTGGCTTGGAAGAGAAGGGTCGAAATGGCATTAAGCTTAGGTCAAGGGTTTGATTTCCTTTCATTATAATCGAAATCAAAGGAAGGAAACCTTCCCTCTGGCTATATATCAAGCCAGTGTCTATAGCGTTCATGTGTTGACTACGGTATTGGATATGAAAGCGTGGAGGAATGTTACAATTCCTATGTCACACATAGAAAACCAGTTTTGTAAGAACAAATTTCTACAAAAATGTATTCGTTTGAAACAAATTTATTCGTGTTCTTTGGGTTTGAATATGTTAAGAGTAAAATTGGCAATTCTTAAACAAAATGCATGAGAATGTAATGTCTTAGATTAGTGCACATTTTAATTGTAATTGTTTTAGTCTAAGTATGTCTTTCATGCTTTCGATCACAAAAATAACAAGTGTTTCAGAGATATCTACTCAGGTAAGTTCGGCATGCATATCCATTAGGTTAAACTAATGTAAAATTAGTTAGAGTAAAATTGACAATTCTTAAACAAAACACATGAGTATGTTATGTCTTGGGCTAGTGCACGTTTCAATTGTAATTGTTTTAGTCTAAGTATGTCTTTCATGCTTTCAATCACAAAAATAACAAGTGTTTCAGAGATATTTACTCAGGTAAGTTCAGAATGCATATACATTAGGTTAAACTATTACCCATCCTAGAACCTTCGGAATACTTTGTTAATTGTATTCTTCTCTCACCGAGGACGAAATTAAGTCTTTTTAACTTTAATTTTTAATTAATTTTTCTCAAAATCAATAAGCTATATTTCATTAAATGATTCTTAAAATTGTCATATTTCTAAATTTCCGATTAATGCTTTTTCCCATCCAAATTGAATTGTAAAACAAGTGGAAACCACCACAACATATATTAAATAGCCTCTTTTGTGGTCAATATCATGTACTAACAAACGTGTCGACATATTAAACTAGAGAATTTCATATCGGGCATGCCACATGCAGATGAACTTCTGTCCTTACAGAAACCAGCCAGTTGTAAAAGAGCACAGCATCTAGCAATGCCAGAATTTCCATGTATGCAAAAGATGCAGTCTTGCCACTTCAAAATTGCTTTTGTCTATATTTATGGCCTCGGTTATATCAGCCCCTTATCTCTCACTCAAAAACTGCATCTCAGAGCTAGCCATGGCCAAGGAAGTTAAAATTGAAGCAAAAGTACGTGTAGGGATTGAAGCCTTGTGGGAAGCTCTTGCAAAAGATTTGAGAATCTTGATTCCCAAAATCATCCCAAATTTGGTCAAGAGTGTGGAAGTGATAGAAGGGGATGGTGGCATTGGAACAGTCCCTTCTCTTCAGTTTTGGCTCTGGTATGTAACTCGGCCTTCAATGTTTTAGTATGAACAGCTTCTTTGAAATCCCTCCACCATATCACAATTTTTTTATACAAAGCGATAATCTAAATCATTCTAATGGAAATGATTTCCACCATCTTTCTTATTCTTTTATACACATGTTTATTTTTAGATTTTAAATCGAATAAACCAAATGTATTCAAATCATTTTTGGTTTTTTTTATTTTTTTTTACCACAGTAAGTATGATGATAAAAAAGATTTGCGAAAATCATTTTTCATTAGAATAGTTTGGAGAGAGAGAAATCAAACTGGGTAAAAAAGGTTATGTTTCTTTCTAACCAACTAGCCTAACCCACATCCATCAGCATTGACATTTTTATGGTGAAGTTTCTTTTCAAAATTATATAATGTTAAATGCTAATGATTAAATTATATATATATATATATATATTTTTTTTTTTTTCTTTTCTTCTTCTTCTTCTTCCGGGAACAATTTCAGATGTACCAAAGATGAGTTACCAAAAGGAAAAGATTGTGGAGCTTGATGAGTCTGTAGACAAATTTGGGCTGCAAATCATTGAAGGGGGACACCTGAACTTTGGGTTTTCTTCATACAAAACAACATTCCAACTTACTTCAATTCATGAGAAGGAGACCCTGGTGAGCATTGAGATCACCTATGAGTCTGAAGTGGAAGACAATAATGCCATGCCATCCAAGACAACAATGTCCACTTTTGCTTTGGTAAAAAACTTAGAGGAATATTTGTTGAATAATGTTGCTGTCTAGAATTTTGTTATCATTCCAACAAGGTATGGGCTGTTTCAATTCTATATGGTAATTCGCCATTTTCTTGAGCTGGAAAAACCCATTATGATTGTAATTTCAATAGTAAGCTCTTGATAACAACTTTATTTTATTAATTAACAATCGTCATTCATAAGATTTGAACTCACAACCTCCTTTCTAAAAGTAGCGAATGAGTTCCAATAGACCAAATAATCATTCTCACATCAAACTCAAATCTAAATTTGAGGATCCAAACGAACCTTATGTTCTTTATTTATCTTGATATTTCATAATCAAGGCCATAATTAATTATTGATAAACACACATGCTTTGAGTAGCTAAAGCAAACAGCAGGTACATGTTTTCACTGCCAACATTCAGTTATTCCCTTAGAAGCTAATTGTTAAGCGTCCATATTATTTGTTATCTTGAATAAATCATTCATTTTTTGCAAACAATTCCATATCCTCCTGAGGATCTTCTGGTGCAGTCAAGTGTACCATAATCCACAATTGCTGATCTATCTTCCTCTGTCACACTTTCCTGTGCTGAGAACCTGCAAGAAACACAATCTGCCGACAGAAGAGATGAGGTTCGATACTTATCTTCACCCCCCAAGACCGGCATTGCCACTCCAGGCTTTGCCGGGTTCTCAAAATCAGGCCTGTAAGTCCTTCCAAGCACTCCCTCAACTTTCGTGGACAGAGCAAAGAACTTAAACTGGACTTCCAAATGTGCAAAGCAGTCGTCGGAAGGAACTTGATAGTTGTGGATTCTATCATCTTCTTTGGTTACGGGCACCACATTGATCATAATCTCAGCAACATCCTTTAGGGACACAATAACACTGTTCTTGCTTGATATTCTCTCAACTTTAATATCCTTTTCTGGAGAATACCAAGTGGAGAGATACCCTTCTTGTAAAACTACATCGTTTCCGTTGTGGGTGAATTTTAGGTGGTCAATTTGATTGTCCCAAGCAGCTGCTTTGGTGGCTTCTACAGAGAAGCTGTGAGTGCTGAAAATGATTCCTAGGGCTTGAATCCAAGTGTAGTCACGGCTTCGTTCTGCTGGCCTATGGCCAATGAAGCGACCATTGATCTGGAGGTTGTTGTCTGAGACCAAGCTAAACTGCTGGTTGCTCTTGCCATGGAAATAGAAAACAATGCCATCACCACCGATGAAGCGGGGATCATGGCATGCTGATCCAGGACTATTGCAGTTTGGTTTACGGTCTAGAAATATCAAACACTTACTTCATTTAGTTTGTATGCATAATTAACGGAGAAAGAATTCAAGTCCTATATCAAGCTACAAGGTAGGTAAAATTAACAATATCTCTTTCATTTTAACAAAATTAAAGAGCCAAATAGCATTTCTCAAGCAATGTTCTTTTGTCAGATCAATAACTTTGGACCATGCATTGACACAAGTGCACCTGATCGACTAATGATCAAGTTTGATAGACTCATAATATATAATATGTCAGACTATCTTAAAAAATAATATTTTCGCTACATTCATACGGGCTGACTTATGTAAATTTTAAGGACGCTACTAACACAAAGAAAACAAATGAAGCCAAGATTGTTAACATACTTTTGCAATGGGCCTTGCACATAGGGGAATCACAGTCAATATAGCAGACTTTGGCTTTATGGTCTTCAGAGTAACTGCTAGGGCATTCATATGGGCATTCCACAGTCTTTCCATAGCATCGGCTTGCCGGGTTGGTACAGTAAAGAGATTTGTATGCTTTAGCTTGAAATGCTGCACCTGCAACAAATACTAGTACGATGACTAATGCGGTGGAACTGCTTCTTAACATCTCCATGCTTAATTGTTAATAGGCTGCAGATTTTAGATCGATAGAATTGTAAGAAATGGATCAGTTTCCCATTGCTATTTATACATTTTAACCTTTTAATTTTGCTTTACATCTCAGATATCCTTATATTTTAAAGCTTGTGACTGAATCGATCCATATATAGCTGAAATTAGAAGTATGAACCGGAATTGTTGGCTAGCACTTTGCCATTGTGAACATACATGCATGTTCGCATATTGTAGAAGATGAATGTCTTCAAATACAAGTTAGGTTAGTTTGCTTGCATATGATTCAGGAATTGGACTTTCGGCCATGATTATCTACATGTCAAATTATATCACCACCTGGTTTGGTTACTGATGATTCAGGATTGGACTACATTTGTAGAGGGTGGTTTTTTATACGATCTATACTGTTCAAACACATGACTTCAGAGTGGAGTAAATATTCCTAATTACCTACAATTACCACATTTGTGTACCATAGTTGTATGACCTTTTTAATAGAAAATGAATCCCACATTGACGTATGGGACAAGGACCTTGCATGGACTTATAGTAAATTAAACTACTCTTCATATTGCCAATTAATTTTACAGTGAAACCTCAACTTTTAGATCTTACATCTATTAGAGAAGTGATACACTCAATGGCTGAGCAAAAAAAAAAAAAAAATCTATTAAAAGGGGTCAACCGTAGATAAAGATTTGACAAGTTGATTTCCCCTCATAGACGTTTTGAAGTGCCATATTACTGATATGAAAATTTATTTAAGAAATGTCAGCTTTTGTAGCTTGATTAAAGGCTTACTCAGTGAGAAGGTCTAATAAAAATAAAATTTGTTAACTTGAGAAGGGTTAGTCGACCACCTTGAGCATTTATCGGCTTTGTCTTTGGATAAAAAACGTTGTAAGTGTTGAATTTTTTGTGCTAAAATGGTTTGGAGTTCGTAGTATATGCAATTTGATTTTTATGGTCAATTGTAGCTTAAGGTATTTCCTAGGTTGTGTCTGTGCCTTGTTTTCTTTGGGAAGTAGCAATGTAGAGAACCCTTTCGAGAATTAAGGTGTACTTAAATGTAATTAGACTGGTTCTGAGATGAAGATGTCCAGTTGACAAAAAGAGGGTGTCTTTGAGTTATTATGAAGAAAACAAAATTAGCATAAAAAATTGAATTAGGGATGAAGGCTTTATCTTACAATTTCTTTCTCATTTTCTAGCGAAGGCTATATATCTTACAATTAAATTAAAGGAAATATATTAAAGGAGAGAAAAATTATATAATGGGGATCTTATGGGGTGTCAAAAGAGGCTATATCTACCGATACTGGAGGGAGGAATCAAACTTGATATCTCTAGTACATATATGAATATTTTTAATAAATTGAGATATAAGTCATTTCGGTGTTACAAGCACACCAAAATGATTTCGCATAAGGGATAATAGTTGTGCTTCCATATGGGAAACTTACTTTTCTTTTCGCTTACGATTAACGAATCTTTACCGTTTTGGATATCATAATCGAAACAATTCATTTTCTTTATCATCATTTAAATATCATATATGCAAAAAAATCATTCAATTTGAAGATCGTTTAGTCATTCATACGCGTTAAACCAATCAACGATTTTGATAATAAATAACATCTTCATGATGAACCGTTCATTTGTTTTATGCATATGAATAACTAAAAGATTTCCAAATTAAATAATTTTTAACAAATGTGATCTTTAGATAATGATAAAGAGAATGAACGTTGGATCTTTCTTATAAAGGGATTTGGTAGCAAAGACCCCTGTGATATCTTTCTGTATGGATTCCTTACCTTTGAATCAAAGTCTATGTCTAATAGGACCCAGGGTGATTCCGATTATGATGTTCGGACGGTAAAGATTCGTTAATCGTAGGTGGGAGGACAAGTAAGTCCCCTTATGGGAACACGAGCATTATCCCTTATGGGAAATCAATTTTTGGTGTACTTGTAACACTGAAATAATTTGTATCTCAATTTATCAAGAGTATTCATCCCTTTGCTTGAGGTACAGAGTTTGATTCCTCTCTCCAGTCTCTTATTGAAAGAAAAAAATATAGTAAGCCACTTCACTACTTCAGGCCCAGACGATTTGTTGCTGGACCTACTCATTTGCATGTCCAGCATTGATCATCAATGTCAAAGCCCAGCGTCCATTCATTTCCCTCCAATCCCCCAGTTCAGTTAACTCGTCTTTTCCATTTCGCATGCTCGCATAAAAAAAAAAATAAAAACCCTAACTCCTACTCGACAAGCAAAACCCTGCTAAATTTCCAGTTTCTGATTCAACTCGGTCCAACCAGCTGAGTCGCCCTTCACTTTCAATTCCCGATAACATTTGCAACTACTATATTTTGTACCTTCTTGTGAATTGAATTTTGAGTGCAAAATTGGGGAATTAGGACTCGGATTTAGATTAATTTTAGTTCGTACTGACACTCTGAGTGATATTAACAGTGAGTTCTTGGTGAAATCCCTGGCTGGAGCTAGAAACAATATGGGTTTTGAGGGTAGAGATTCATATATGTGAATTTTCTGTTCAATTTGTGTGTAAAGATGATCAATGTCTCAATACGAGAATCCGAAAACACACTGTTAATGGGTTGTGAGGAATTGCTTGATATGAAATATCCAATTGGTGATATTTACTTCTTATGACATACTGGTGGTATTCCAGAAATGGGGTGTTGTGTTTTTCATTTGTTTTTAAGCTGATTACTTGATTTGGGTTAAAAAGTAGTTGTAAAGAGAGTGCGGTCTAGGGTAATGGAGACACCGGGTTCAGATGGTTCTGTTCCTAAGAAGTCCAGGCGGTCTAGGGTAGTGGAGACACCAGGTTCAGATGGTTCTGTTTCTAAGCGGTCTCTGAGGAAGAAAGCAAGTTTGCGAAATTATGATGAGAATTTGATGGATGATATAATAGAGAAGCATTTAGGTGGTACTTCTAAGAAAAGGAAGGGTACAAAGGTGGATTTGGAGAAAGAGACCGAAACAGAGGCCATGATAGCGTTGTCCCTCGGGTTGCCCATTGATGAGCTGCTTGAGGAGAAAAAACAAGCTGGGGTGGTCAGCGAGTTGGGTGGGAAGCAGCAGAATGATTATAATGTCGTGAGGAATCATATTTTAGTAAGATGGCGGAGTAATGTGCGAGTGTGGCTTTCAAAAGGCCAGATTAAAGAAACTGTGAGTGGTGATTATGAGCATTTGATATCTTCAGCTTATGATTTTCTTTTGTACAATGGATACATCAATTTTGGTGTTGCACCAGCATTTATGGCTAATATGCCAGAGGAGGTAATTGAAGGGTCTGTCATCATTGTTGGTACGGGACTTGCTGGACTAGCAGCTGCAAGGCAGCTCATGCAATTGGGTTTCAAGGTGGCTGTTTTAGAAGGTAGGAATCGACCAGGTGGAAGAGTTTACACCCAAAAGATGGGGAAGGATGGAAAGTTTTCTGCTGTGGATCTTGGCGGCAGTGTCATCACTGGCATCCATGCTAACCCTCTTGGAGTTCTGGCGAGGCAACTCTCCATTTCGCTTCATAAGGTCAGAGATAATTGTCCTTTGTACAAACCTGATGGGAAACCTGTTGATAAGGACATTGATTCTAAGATTGAAGTCATCTTTAATAAGTTGCTTGACAAAGTCATGGAACTCCGACAAACAATGGGTGGGTTTGGAAATGATATTTCTCTGGCTTCGGTTTTGGGACACTGAGGCAGTTGTATTCTGTTGCTAGAAGTACTGAGGAGAGGCAACTTCTTGATTGGCATCTTGCAAATTTGGAGTATGCAAATGCTGGATGTCTATCAGATCTCTCAACCGCATATTGGGGTCAGGATGATCCTTAGGAAATGGGTGGGGACCACTGTTTTCTTGCTGGAGGTAGTGGGAGATTGATTAGAGCACTGTGTGAAAGCGTTCCCATATTCTATGGAAAGACTGTCAATACTATTAGGTATGGAGATGAAGGGGTTGAAGTTATTGCAGGGGGCCAAGTGTTTCAAAGGGATATGGTCCTATGCACGGTTCCTCTTGGAGTTCTGAAAAAGGGTTCTATCAGATTTGAACCCGAGTTGCCCCAAAGAAAGCTCGCTGCCATTGAAAGGTTGGGATTTGGGCTACTGAACAAAGTGGCGATGGTTTTTCCTCATGTTTTCTGGGGTGAAGAACTGGATACTTTTGGATGTCTCAATGAACATAGCCATAAACGTGGAGAGTTTTTTTTGTTCTACGGGTACCATACTGTATCCGGAGGTCCAGTTCTCATTGCACTGGTGGCTGGAGAAGCTGCACAAACATTTGAGTGCACAGAGCCATCAATACTGCTCAATCGAGTTTTAAGCGTCCTCAGAGGTATGTATTTATCAATAAACAATTGATTTATGGTTCCCTTCAACTCACGTCTCTGTGTCTTCATCATTAGGGTGATTTTGCAAAGCATCCATCTAGATCTAGTCTTCCTTCCTGTCTTACAGATTTTGGTTTTTCCATTTTCATGTCCCCCTCTTCAGGCATATATACTCCTAAGCGCATTGATGTACCTAATCCAATACAAAGCATATGCACAAGATGGGGCTGTGATCCCCTTTCCTATGGTTCATATTCTCATGTTCGAGTACAGTCATCCGGCGGCGATTATGATTTACTAGCAGAAAGTGTGGGAAACCGCCTGTTCTTTGCAGGTGAGGCCACAACTAGGCAACATCCAGCTACCATGCATGGGGCCTTTCTAATTGGCCTAAGAGAGGCTTCATGCATATATCGTGCCACAAGGCGTAGTCAAAACTATCCAGGGAAAGTCATGCAAAAGAATGTTGGACCAAGCAGTGATATGCTGGAAGAACTATTCAAGAAGCCCGATTTGGAATTTGGGAACTTTTCATGTGTTTTTGATCCTTCAACAGAGGACCCCAAATCAATAGGGCTTATGAGAGTTGGTGTTGGGAGTAGTGAAAACAGTTACAAACAAGAG